GTTAATGCGACGTTAATTACTCGCCAGAGCTCCAGGTCAGTCAGAGGAGGGTCGTCCTGGAAAATAGGGCAGCGATTTACAGGAGGAAAGGTAGATTTATTAAATTAAGGTAACTCAGAATAGATTTTACAAGTTAAATAAATTTTGATGGCCCGCTATTGTTACATAGCATATGGGTAGCTTAAGTTCATTTGGCCTGGGGCCAACCCAGTGTGGCTAACGTGAGTAAACTGATAGCATGAAGCTAACATCTACACGCCATGATGGAACTGCTGACTGCATCTTCAGATGAGCTTGTTCACATGTTTCTCTAAGATGAGAAAGACACCTGATGAAGATGACGATAGCCAGGTAGCATCAGCCGTTTACTGACTCATAAATGATGATGGTTCGGTAAAAAAAACAAACAGTGATCACACTGTAATCAGATGTGATGTGAGTATAAATGATCTAAAGTTAATGTTTAATTTATAAGACCAGTAACATCAGACAGGGAGGAGCAGTGGAGCAAAGTGAAGGAGATCCGAGTGGAGGAGCAGGAGAGAGAGATGAGAGTAGAAGAGGAAGAATCTAAAGGGGAGCTCAGGCTTCAGGATGGGGCCCACATGTGCTGAAAGAAACAGTCGGTTCCACTCAAGGCTCGACCACACTGATAATGGGGAGTGTCCATGAACCTTTTGTCCTTTCTTATTTTTTCCTTTCTTAATATACATGTCAATATTTCTGTTAAATAAATAAAAAATAAAATAAATTCAGTGTATTCCCATTGTAAGAGCAATGATCAATCATGCCACTGTACTCTGTCCTGAGAGGAATGATCTGAATCAGGCTGCAGGGGATCAGCTGCAGCCTGGATGCTGCTGAGCCTCTTGGAGAATTTCCCTACAACAGAGCCTCAGAGCTCTTCTTCTTCTAAAAACCCTGAAAAATGAATTGTTCTGAGCCTGAGTGCAAACTTTACCACTGATTCTACAACCTGATCAAGAAATTATTGTTTATTGTTTTTATTATTATTAATTTAATTTAATTTTTTAAATTTACATTCAGCCTTTAAAAAGCCATTTTCAGCTGGCCATTCAATTAATAGGTTGTAAAATTAAAGCCTCAGTCAAATGTCATTTGTTTACGCCGCCACGGCTCCTGGAGAGTCTGCTTCCCCTGCTGCTGGAAAACATCCGAGAGGAAACCCTGCTATAGACCAGTGGTTCTCAAAGTTTTTGAGCCATAACCCCAAAGATAACATAAGTTTGTGTTTGTGACCCCCAAATTGAATTTTTAATATGTTGTGAGTAATAACTTTGTTGTTCATGCAGTAATGGGTTAAAAATGAACGTGTTAATTCCACAGATTAATCCCTTTACGTTACTACACGTTAGTTTTCTTTTGAATGAATTGAATTTATTTCAAACAAATGAAAGGGGGAAAATAATATAAAAACAAAAGAAAATAATTTTTAAAAAAGAGCATTAAAAAAGAATAATTACACATAATCAAATCATAATATTAACAAGTTCTAGACAGGAGTGGGAAGAAGTGTACACTTTTATTTTGACAGCTCTAATACACATTTATTTGATAAGTGTAGGCTTTATTTATTTATTTATTTATTTATCTATACAATGATCTGGCGACTCCCTGAAATTATCTTGGGACCCCCATGGGGGTCCCGACCCCCAGTTTGAGAGCCACTTCTGTAGACAATTGAGAAAGTACTTCATCCTCTCCAGGCAGCCCGTGTTACAGATCTAATGTCTGTGTTTAACATAGTTTACATTCAACGTATAGTGAAAAGTAAAAGTCACTCATGTTGTGTTATGAGTTCTGCTGCAGGCTCTTGAACCTCAACAGCAGAGGATTGCTGCGCTGTGAGCTGATCAGTTACACCCACCAGAGATGTCCCTTATCATGTCAGTTTATTAATATACAACATAACAGTGTGTACCGTTGTCAGTGCTTGTTTTATCTGCAGCATCTTTTATTCCCACTTCTATTTTGCAACCTTTAAAAAAAAGACGTTAATTTTTTTCTGACCAGAGAAACACACACACAAGCTCAAGTTTCAAAATATCTCATCCCACGTAACCGTTGTTTCGGTGCCACATTACACTGTTCAGATAAAGCCTTTCCCACAGCAGAAATATTGATTTGTTACAGCAGGAAGCACACAAGTGCTACGAATCAAATTAGCAGCATTTAGTCTTGACCAGCTTTCACACATACAACATGGGGAGACCTGCGGATGTTGTAGAGCAGTTCAGATAACTTGTCAAAACATGGCTCTAATATATAACTTAGAATAAAGCAGAAACTTTTATAATACCAGACAGATATAACGGATGTTTTGTCGGTCAGACGCAGGGGTTCTGAAGCTCTGCCTTTCTCTTTATTATTCCAATCAGGCCACATACTTGACCAGGTCGTCTTCTTTGGAAACTCTGATATGATTTCGGAGGTATCGATTGCTATCATGCTAAAACATTCCCCTTCTGCAGACTGGACGTTACTTTGTCAGCCAGGGTTAATATATATTTACAGGGATTTATGGTGCCATCCATAAATATCGTCTCCCCCAACAGCTTTTGCACTCATGCAGCCCCGTATCATCACCCTGCTGGAGCTGTGCATCCAACATGCTGGACCTCATCTGAGCTGAACAAATGTATCTTGGCCTCATGTGACCAAAGATCTGGCTTCTTGTTTATGTTCTTTAGCAAAGTTTAATGTTGCAGTTTTGTGCCGAACACCAAGCAAGGCCTTCTTTTGAAAACACCACCTTGTCCGTGGTGTCGTTTTAGAAAGACGTGGCTCTGATTGTTGTACTATGACTTGCTCTGCACCTCCTGATTACTGCTGCAACTGTGTTTTTATGGACTCTTAGTTGGACGCTGATCTACATTACTTAATGAGTAGCTCCTAATGAAATCTTACAGAGTAGCTCAGTTGTCAGTAGGTGCTTCCTAATGGCAGGCTTTATGGTGAGTAGCGGTGAGTCACTACTTGTGGTGCTCCAAACCACTAATGTCAAAGTGATAAATGAGTCACTACTAGGTTTTGAGCTTTTGATCAGCTGGTTTGGAGTTAATCAGGAACCACTAGTAGCCATGCCTCCATGTGGTCTTCCATTGGGATTTCTTAGGGAGGCACTGAGGGGAGGTGCCTTAATTACTCCAGCACATCACTAATCTGATGAAAAAGGCTCTGACAACAGATTCAGATTCAGATTCAGATTTGTTTTATTGTCATTGTAACAAGTACAACGAAACGAAGGTGCAGTCCTTTCAGTGCAAAAATATAAGAACTTGTAGAACAATAAAAACTTTGT